GCGCAAAAGAAAGCAAATCTAGAAGGAAGGGACCCTTACAGTTAAGGAAGGGCAGTAGATAGCAGCTCTAAAGGAGTTTAGGGCACGTAGTGATAGAAAGAAGTTAAAGAAGCAGGTGCGCGCTAAAGTAGGTAAGCCCTCCTAACAACGCTGTAGACAGTGCAATTAGACTAGGCACAACGCACAAACGTGTAAGAATAATACAGAAGTAGTCTCTAAATAATATTCTAAGCTATACTGCACCTTGCAGCGCTAGAGTGTGGTGTTTTAGGCCATAATAGGGTGAGGTTTAGTAGGGTCTTGGCAAAAGTGTCCGACTCGCCCGTGTGTCCGACTCGCCCGTGGGGTACGTTATATTAATATAATAAAAGTATAGTTTATTAAGCAGAGCTACTATTGTAGTAGGATTAGGAGTTATTGTGGCTATTGCAGCTGTTAGGACTGTTAGAGCCGTTGGCTTAAAATTGGCTGGACATTGAATGCACATTAAATAACTGTTGTAGGCCTACAAGTCCTACTGTTGCCCACAGTACAATGCCACGATTTCCCAATTTCGACAACGGAAAAACTTTTCCCGATGAACGTACCTCACGGGCTCGTGGATCACCCGGGCTCGTGGATCACTTTTGCCAAGCCCCCACCAAACTCTACCTTCCTACGTGATGCCTCAACAACAACGCTAGATAGAACCTTCTAATAAACGTCAGATACAGACTGCCCTTCAGGCTCTTAAACAAGACGCGACACTCTCTCAGCGACGCGCTGCAGCTATCTACAACATCGCTTAATTAACACTAAGCCACTAACGCGCAGGACAGACTCCACAAGCAGATTACTAGCCTAAATCAAAGAATCTGACTAAGATTGAGGAGGACGTAGTTGTTAAGCATATACTTGAGCTAGTCACCCGAGGATTTCCCCCCAGGCTTGCAGCTGTGGCTGATATGGCCAATTCTTTGCGCGCAGAGCGCAATATAGGCCAAGTTGGCTCAAACTGGCCCAGTACGTTTGTTAAAGGCCGCCCTGAGCTCACAATAAAGTTTAATTGTAAATATAACTATAAGAGAGCCCTCTGTAAGGATCCTAAGATTATACAAGGCTAGTTTAGCCTAGCAGCTAACATTAAAGCTAAGTATAGTATCCTAGATAAAGATATGTTTAACTTTAACAAGGCTAGCTTTATAATAGGCTAGATATCTACTAGTTTAGTTGTTACAGCTTTAGAGAGACAAGGA